TCAAGCCAAAGAGAGGAAGAAGAAGCCGGGGAAGAGGGATCAGACTCTAAAAGGAGCCTTCAGATGTAAGAATTATACGCTGTGTCTTTGTTCCTGAGAAGATCTGAAGTCAGATTAAACCTTGAAGAGTGAACAGAGCATGGTTAACACCACACTTTACAATATCCACTATTTTACGCTAAAATATTTTGATAGTTAAATCTAAGTGGATAGTGTGGTGACACACAAAGGCTGAACTGAGGGTTTTTTATATGGACTATAAGCAAAACAGGTTTTCACAGTGAATTCATTACCATCGTGTTCCATACTGTCTGATGACACTGATTAATCAGTTTTAATGGAGTTTGGCAAGTAAGAACATGAAAACAAAAGGGTGAAGGTGGGATGGAGACAGTGACTGAAATGTGCCAGATTTTATAGTCATGTTGTTTATTTCCTAGATCACCTGTCATTGACTGTGTGTCTATGAAGAGTGGATGGTCAATAGACCAACCAGTGCACTTCAAAGACGACATTACATCTGACCAGATGTAAGGTTACTGATAAATTAGATCACTACACTACCCAAACACAAATGCAGAAAATAATAGTAAGAGCCAAACCAAGACATTTTCGTTTTTTTTTTCACAGACCCCAAATGGGGAAGGAAGAGTCGTCTGGATCAGGTTGTTTGACGAATAAAGACTCAAGTGATGCAGATGTGCTTTTCAAACAGAAGTCAGATTATCCAAGGTAATTTTGTTTCAAGATCTTCAGGATGGAATTAAGCATTCTGTCATGTTGCATTGATTATATGTTAAAGTACAATGTTTGTAAAGACACAGACATGCATCCTGACACATTAGAAGTCGTGAAAATGTATTTTACAAACTGCCTTTTAGGTGCTGGGGTGTTTTGCTATGAAGCAAACATCTGTAAATGGATGGATGGATGGATGGATGGATTGATGGATTGATGGATGGATGGATGGATTGATGGATGGATGGATGGATTGATGGATGGATGGATGGATTGATGGATGGATGGATGGATGGATGGGCATTACTAAATACACAGCTACATTCTTCAAATTTACTGTGTACCACATAGCTTATGCATATTTTTTATAATCCATCTATCCACCCATCTGGCACAAGTAGATGAATGGTTAGTTATGGTTACTTAAGTACACAGAATGTACACGGAACTCAATAGTAAGAAGTCTTCTGTTAATTATGATATTTATAGTTTTGTTTTTTGTTTACCATAAATGATTTGATTGTTCACAAAAATAGGAAAGAGGAAGAGCTGGTTATAGAAAAGCACCACTTAACCAGTTTAACCTGTTTACTAAATGAAAGTAGATCACACAGTCCCTAAGTCGGCACGGAGTGAAGTGCGTTCATTTAGCCTTAACTGGTAAGTTTCCATATAAGAATTTCAATTTTTTAAATAACTGTTTGATTACTCACTTTCCTTGATTTTGTGGGACATTACTAACTATAGAGCTTCATCCTTTTCACAAGGTGAGGGCTGAGGAGGGACATAGTAGCACTA